TTTTCAGAGCTAGGGAGTAACCCAGGGCCTCCCACATGTTAAGCAAGAGCTATACCACTGAGCCACATACTCCCACCCACCTTTAACTTTCTATTTTGAGACAGACTCTTGCTAAATTGCCCAGGCTGGCCTTGAATTTGGGAGCCTCCTGCCTCAGCCTCTTGAGTAGCTGGGATTACAGATGTGTGCCATCATACCCTGGCTGGCTGTTAGTCTTGGTCCCTGCTTACTTCTAACACTTCCCCTGACCAGTCGCAAGAACTCCTCTTATTCCTTGCTTTGCTGCCTCCAATTTTCCTCAACCATGCAGCTAAGGAAGGCCTCAACTGAAGGTTCTAACACAGTGCTTCCCACACCTGATGTGCACTAGGTTTGGCTGCAGTGCTTGGTTAAAATACGGATATATCACTCTGATTCAGTTACCCAGGATGGACTTGGTGTGTAAAAGTGTTAAGAGATGACATTGATACAGTCAGCTCTGGAGACCACTATGTTACATCACTTCCCTCTCTCAGTCCCTAATCAGTCTTCTTAGCTCCTCACCTTGCCCTCCTGCTCTCAGTCCTGATTTATCTAGTGTACTCTGACATCTGTGGCGGTTATCATTTGGTTCCCCACAAAGCTGAAAGTTTTACGGGAAATCAAAACCCAAAGAACTTTGAACTGTCTTCAAAATGTACCTCTAATATTTATTATCAGAAACTTGCTTTATGACCCAAACGAAAAATAACCCAGACTGAAAAAGCTATATAATGGTCACAGTTGGGAATTATGTTTGAAACTACAAGGTGGAGATAAATGTTTAATTGGAATCCAAAGGTCTTTCTTCTCTCTGAGTGAGAGGGTAATGACGTTTGTAGTAATATCACAGATTACAATTACTATCTGATGATAAAAAGACTACTAACTGGCATGCTAGACCAAGGAAGGACTCACCATGGAATCTCCCCCTTAACTTTGATGTTGGAGATTCTCAGGGGTTCTTACCACTGAGCCACATACCTAGCCACCTCCCTCCCACTTTTTTTTTTTATCATTTTTAAAATTTTGAACAGAGTCTCACTGAGTTGTGTAGGGTCTTGATAAATTACTGAGGCTGGCTTTGAACTTGTGGTCCTCCCAACTTATTCTCTTGAGCAACTGGGATTACAGGTGGGTACCACAATGCCTGGGTTGACCATGGCCTCTTAGAAAGAATAAATCAGTGGAGAGGCTGTAGTTAAAATCATGAGAATAGAGAGCATTACATAGTGGGGTTGGGTTATATTTTTTAGTTTGTAAAAATATTAAGAGTGTTCTATTGTTCTATTACAATGGAGTCTTATTTATTAAAATACTGCTTTCTGTCTATAGAGCCTTTGTCTCAGAGAACCACTATTCTATTGCTGTTTAAATTGCAACCTATTTAAATTGCAGTAGGAAGCTTGCATATAATATGCAAATTTCCTTTTCAAACTTAATATAGTAGGAATCACCTAAAGGACTTGTTTTAAAAATGTCACATCCAGCCAGGCACGGTGGCACACACCTGTAATCCTGGCTATTCCAGAGGCTGAGGCAGGAGGCTTGCAAATCCAAGGCCAAGCTGGGCAATTTAGCAAGTCTGTGCCTCAAAATTTAAAAATAAAAATAAAAAGGGCTGGGAGTGTAGCTCATTGGTAGAGCACCCTTGGGTTTAATCCCCAGTACTGAAAAAATATCCCCAGAATTTGCATCCAGCAGGCCCGACAAAGGACTGAGGAACAGGTATGTTTAATGGCACCTCAAGTGCTTACGTGGCAGTAGTCCGATGTTTGCAAAAGGGGAGTGGTACAGGGCTCCACCATAGCAATGTTGTCTAATATTGTCACCATGAGAGGGTGGAGGGGATCTGGAGGAGACCTCAACTTGGACCTCCCAGGTTCTTAACTCTGAGCAGAAAAGAATTTAAGGGTGAGTCAGGGTTTACCAATGAGAGAGAAAGCTTTATTAGAAAGCAAAAGGTAAAGGGACACACTCGGAGCAGGGCAATCTCAAGGGTCACTCCCTCCCAGGACTTAAGGTTGGGTTTTTATTAGGGAACATAATTAGGTAGAATATGTGTGATCCAAGGGGCTGGACTTCCCCTAGCATTGGGAAATATTGAGGAAGATCATGTTTCCCCATTAAGGGGTCTGCTCTGGTATGTAGATTTTAGCTTAACATCAATGTCTCTGGCAGGAAGGTGATCAGTGATCAACTGGGTGCTTGGGCTGAGGGTCAGGGTCTAATCAAATGTTAGCCTCTAGCCTTATGAGGAAAGGTTAGTGGTCTCTTTCCATCGAGGTCTTGATTTTGTCTTGCTACATGTCAGAAAACTTATTGGGAACTGGAAAGTTACATAGTAATTCATGGGTTGTTTAGTGCGTCATTACTTTCTGGTCCTTTTCTGTCCCCTAGTCTCTTTTGTCTAGCTTATAGGTTGTTGACAAATTGTTCATTCTGTATTTTCATAGGGATGTTTTTCCTTTAGAGATTTGCTGTTCTCTGTGTATCTCCATCTCAGTATGATTGCTTTTAAATCTAAATACATTTTTTCTAACTCCTTTCCTCCACAGTGATTCCTCTGAGAATCCATTAAAAAAAAAAAAAAGGACAGGAAAAGGAAAGTGTAATTCACTCAGATTTTTTTTTTATCCAGTAGCTTGGCTTCATTTTGAGATTATTCATAGTTTCTAAGCCAGAGGGAGTTGAAGAAAAATTTGAATAAAGAGGAGAAAGTAATTAAGAAGAGAACTCATTAGGTGGAAATCTGTGGTGAAACAAAACCTCTAAAACCACAAAGACACTTTCACTGCCCTGGAAGGCCGGGCATTGCTGGCAGAACTGGTGATATTTAATTTTAATCAAAACAAACTTGTCCACAATCTTGTTGGTCCCTTGGAAGTACATAAGATAAACATTGGACTCAGGACTCTGAGCTGAAGAAGTCCAAACACATGACCTGGGTACAAGTTTGGGGTGTTGTTGGTTTGTTTATTTGTTTATTTTAAAGCTAGGAGAGATAAAATTATCACTGGATTTTAGAGAAATTGTGGAAGGCTGATTGGAGGACATGAGATTCTTCTCCAGAATATAGAAAAGTAGAACCTTCCAGACAGTGTAAATAGTTTGAGGAAATGACTAGGGCAAAGAATATGTGGAATGAGGAACAGTAAAAATGTGAGCTTTTAGGAATTAAAGGTGAGTTGAAGTAAACAGGCATACACCCCAATGTCTCTGTTCACATCCACAGCAGATGTTGATTCCAGAGCATTCCTACTGCTTAGAATCCTTCACAAGAGTATACAGAATGCTTCTTCCATTTGATGAAAGTTGACATAGTATGTGATCTCAATCTACTGACTAAATAAAAATAAATTGCATAGGTAGCAGGTGTTCCAAATCTGAATGTTATGTATATATCTCTGGGCTTAGAGATGCACTGAGGTCATTACCTTTTAAAAATACAATAGTAAAAATCAATATACACAAATACGTAAATGCATATATATGTATCAAAATATACATAGAACTGCTGCTGCTGCTGCCATTTAAATGTGTGTGTGTGTATGTGTGTGTGTGTTTGTGTGTGTGTGTGTATCATTGAAGATAGAAAACTACACAAGTAAGAAGATATTCTTTACAGAAAATTACTTTTTAAATGAAAAACAATGCTTTGGAGAAAAAGTAAATAAATCAGTATACCCAATCAAACTCAGTTTAGTGAATCTATCAAAATGGAAAACTACACTAAAGTTTAAAAGACCCCCCAAAGAAAAAGCTCTTCCAGGGCCTAGACTGTATCTTATGAATTCTTCCAGTGCTTTATAACTTTGCCCAGCACTGGATGCATGTTTGTCGTGTTGAATAGTTTGGAATAAAGATAAAATTTACTATGTTTGATGTAGATAAAAAAAAAGTACCACTAAGTAAGTTTTGAGAATACAAATTTGATATAAATCCTGGAATGGGCATATGCTTAATGAAACAGAGAGAAAACCTGAATAAACTCACTAGCTTCACTTGCTTTTATCAGCATTTTTAGAAGCCACATATCTAAGCAGACTATCTTTTGGCTTTGCAATAGATAACGCTGCTGATATGGGTCATGATGGTATTGGCTGCCTATGTCATTTTTCAAGAATTTGGAGGCCACATTCATCATCCCACACTGTTTGAAACCACTAATCCTTCACTTGGGCTTGTGTAGCTGTCCAGTGGGTGATTTTTGATATCAGACGGCCAGAAACTTCACCTTCAGATCCCTCTACGGCTGCCATTTTCTGAACAAGTGTCCTGTGAAGAGCCATGAAGTTTGACTATGCACGTAAGGACCACTGAACACTTCACTTTCCTTACCTTTCATTCACCTTTCCCCATGCCTCAGACCATCCTGTTTCTCTACTCCACAAATACCCCTAAGCCCTAACCTCCTGGAGGCAGATTTGAGACTTGCGTCTCTTGTCCCTCATGTTTGTCCACCTCCTGTATAAACACTTTCTATTTGGAAAATTCATTTCAGTGGATGGTATACTGGACAGTGGGAAAAAAGGGCCTGGTCAGTGACTGCAACTGCTATGTATGAAAATTATATCTATTGTAGCATATATTGTTTATCTGCTAATTCAATTAACTCAATTCCTAATCTAACACAGGGATTCAAATCATCTACTTTTTTTTTTTTTTAAACTAGGATTGAATCCAGGGGTGCTTTACTGAGCTACATCCCCAGCCCTTTTTATTTTTTATTTCGAGACGGGATTTCAGTAAACTGCTTAAGTCCTCACTAAGTTGCCGTGGCTGGCCTTGAACTTGAGATTCTTATGTCTCAGCCTCCTGACTCTTTTGGATTACCGGTATGCACTACCAGGCCTGGCTCACCTACATTTAAATCCCTAAATTCCCTTACTTCAAATAAAATGTTTAGAAGTATATTTTGAAAACACACTGGGGTATATGTGTATGTGGATATATATGTGTGTTTGTTTATAGATTTTCGCGCTTCTACATATAGATTTACACTGAACAATGATATAGATCAGTGGTCTTTTTTTTTTTCTGCTTCACAACTTTTCATTTCTCTGATTAGATCAGTGGTTCTTAAATTATAACAAGCACAGGACTCATCTACATATCCTTTTAAAATGTAGGTTCCAGCTTAGTAGATCCATACTGGGACCTGGGTTTTGCCTTCCAATTATCAGCATCTATGATGCTGATCCCTGTCCACCTTTTGACTAGCCAAGGATGAGATCATGATTAGAAACAGTGGAGACAAATGAACCTGGCTTCAAATCTACTTTTACATTCTGTGTTTTCTTGGACAAGTAAACTGACTTCTCTGAGCCTCAGTTTTGACACTTTTTTGACACTTTTAAAGTGTCAGTTTTGACACTTTAAAATAATACACCGTGTCTCACTGAGTTATTGAATTAATGATAAGATATGTCAATGAACTACATCTATTAAGCATAATGTTTTCTCAGTGACCTGATGCCACCGTGCCTATGTTAAACTAAATGTCGCTAAATAGCAGGGCGTAGGCTTGATTTAATCAAATGGACAATTGCCTGGAAACCCACTGCCCAGAACAAGGCCAAGTGGTGGGGGACAGATGACCAATGGGTTAGGTATCAGAAGGCTTGGATTTTAGCCCTTGGAAGAAAGGGAACGAATCAGAAAATAAGTTACATGTCCAGAGTGACAAAATAGCAGGGCTGGGATTCAAACTGGGAGAGATTCTAATCCAGTTTCCTACCAGATATATAAACCCTGACTCCAGTAGGCCTGACCAGCGGTCTCCATGAGGAATGAAACTGAACACATTATTTCTTAGTTCTAAAATGTTCACAATGCAAGTCCGGGAACTCAGGACCCACATGTGAGACCAGGGTCCCCATAGATTTGTTCACATTCAGTTCTGAACTTCCTCTCGTGTGTATGTAAGTTCCTGCAAGGTCCACCACCTCCACCCCTTCCTTTTTTCTCTTCCCTCTGCTTATTGCTCCTGTGTGCACAGTCTAACCCGACCAGTTCTGTACCTTTCTTCTCCCAGCCCCTCCCCTTCCTTTCTTTTCCTTTCCTTCTCTTTTTTCTCTTTCTTTCTCTCTCTCTCTCTCTCTCTCCCACTCTCTCTCTCCCCCCACTTCATTTCTTGCTGGGATTGAACCCAGGGCCTCACATGTCAGGCAAATAGTGTTCTACTGCTGAGGTGCAGCTCGAGCCCACATTTTTCTATTTCAGTTGAAGTGTAACATACAAACAGTGAAGTACAGAGATCATATGATGCCCCAAGTTTCTCCAAGGGAGCACTTCTTGTGACTTGACCATGACCTGATTCAAGAGCGAGGACCTGGCTAGCACTCCAGGAGCTTCCCCCACTGACAGAGCCATCGTCATAACCCTCCACTAAAAGTGACTGCTACCCTGTCTTCTAACACAGGAGGCTGGTTTGCCTGTTTGAACCTTGTGTTTATTGAATTCTGGATTAATTCTAGGTTGTTTATGCTTTTGTTTCTGGCTTCTTCTGCTTGAAATTTGGATTGTGAGATTCAGCCACACTGGGTTTAGCACTAATTCATTTCAGGTGAACTAAAGCCAAAGTCTCTGCTCTTACATTCTACCAAGTCCTCTGTCTTTTGGAAGGAGTTTTATCCTCAATTTGCATCCAAAGATTCAGCCAAGTATGGATCAAAAATATTCTGTTTAAAAAAAACTGGACTTGTACAGATTTTTTTTTCCTTGACATAATTTCCTAGACAACACAACTATGTACCTAGCATTTACATTGTATTAGACAATAAAATAACCTAGGAGAGTGTGAGCGAATATAATTTAGATAAGGATCCTCAGTTTGTTTGTTTTTTTAATATCCATGGAGATCCTGGGACCAATGCACACAGATAGTGAGGGGTGAATGTGGTATTTATTAACTACCCAGTCCTTGAACTGAAGTCTCTTTCTCTTAACCAGTCTGAGTTGTCCTGATTGATTCAGGTAAAAACAGACAAATAACTCTTCACTTTCGGATTCTCAAGACGCTGAATTTCCCCTGTTCCCATCTCCTCATTTCCTTCTTGTTCCTCTCTTTCAGGCATTCAGTGTCCTACCAGATAATTTCATGAGTCACATTAACCCATTCTATTCTCATTAGGGCTCTTAATCTAATTTCTAGAACAAGAAACTCAAGTCAAGTCAATGGAGAAGGGCCTGTGCTTTGTCATCTGTTAGGCCATCGCTGAGGAAAGGGCCCCTTCTGTTTGTACAGTGGGAATGGAAAGGAGAGTAGTCACCTGCCCTATTTGGGTTCAGGCTCCCGCACCCCTGTAGCCTCGAGCTCCCCCAGGCCCCATCAGACTCTGCTTCTTTCAATGATTGCTCCCCTCCTCGAGCTTCTCTGAAGCTGGAACCACTAGCTGGGATTTTGATCCTGGGATTGAGTCCTATCTAAGTCTAGTTCTCTCCTTCACTCCCCCAGAACCTATGGGTGTCAGAGTCCAGCAGTAGGATTCTGCCTAAAGTACCAACGCCATTTCTGAAATCTTAATCAAAACAATGCATTATTCATTATTTCCTGTTATAGGGAGACTTATGCATAGTGGTAGGTATGGCAATTCCTAATTTAAGCTCAACATTTCTATAAATAAAATCTACTACAAACCATTTTTCTTCATATTAAAAATGGTGTTTAGATCTGATAATGCTTAAATTAGGAGGCTTCTCAGCAATATGTCTTTTTGAGAGTACAAGACTGGATATTTTTCTGACACCAGCAAAGTTCAGTTATTCTTTTTTCATCAAGAAAGTAAAAGTTTGGGAGGCTGAAGCAGGAGGATCGTGAGTTCAAAGCCAGCCTCAGCAAAAGTGAGATGCTAAGCAACTCTGTCTCTAAATAAAATACAAAATAGGGCTGAGGATGTGGCTCAGTGGTTTAGTGGTTGAGTGCCCCTGAGTTCAATCTCTGGTATCAAAAAATAAAATAAAATAAAATAAGAAAGTAAAAGGGATGGAGTATTATATACACAGTGCAGTATTACTCAGCCATAAAGAAGAATGACTTTCTTCTTTATGGCTGAGTAAATGGATAGATCTGGAGACTATCATGCTAAGTGAAATAAGCCAACCCCCCAAAGCTGAAAGTTGAATGGTTTTGCTGGTATGTGGAAGCTAACCCACAATAAAGGGGGAGAGGAGAACCATAGTGAATCCCACCATTGTGTACCTCTAGAAAATGGGGTCCTAACTAGAATAAGATCTATTACGTTTGTATAAAATTATATCAAAATGGATTCTACTGTCATGTATAACTAAAAAAGAGCCAATTTTTTAAAAAGAAAGTAAAAGGAACTTGGCTCAGTAAATCATGTAATCTGGGTTTGTGGGAGAAGAGATAAAGAGCAGATGATAAGCTGGGTCCTTGGAAGCCTCCAGGGTCATTTCACCATAGCTCCCCTCTCTCATGACCTAACTTATTAAGCTTCTTATCTACCTTTATTATTATCTAAATTATTCCATAATTTGTGAGATGGGTGGCAGGTATACATGGTCCTGGGGGAAGATGCAATTTCACCCCAAACCATTCAGGTCTGTCCTCTGAAGCTCCTCACAACATGACTTGCTGTATTTTCTCAGTCCTTTTGATTTCCGCTTCTTTATACTATCTGGCCATCACTCTGAAAGCATTCCTTTTTTTGTTGCAACTGCTGTCTGTCCCTGCTTCCTGTCTCCTCCTCCTTCTTTTTTTTTAAGAGGCTTTTATTTATTTATTTATTTTTTAGTTGTAGTTGGACACAATATCTTTATTCATTTCTATGTGGTGCTGAGGATTGAACCCAGTGCCTCAGACATGCGAGGCAGGAGCTCTACCTCTGAGCTACGGCCCCAGCCCTCCTGTCTCCTTCTTTACCTTTCTCAAAAACTACCTCCTCCATGAAGCCTTTTCTAATCCTCCAAGCTGGATTTGCCTCTCCTTTGCTGAAAATTTTCCAGGCGTGGTGAAGCATCCACTAGATTGCAGGGGAAGTCACTGGGCTCTAATTATGGCACTGATGCTTGGCTAGCTCTCAGTGGAGAGCATCTTCACTTCCTTCTTCCCAGGGTCATTAAAAGAACAACAGGAAGCTGTGAGAACATCTATATGAAATTTAGATAGATGTATTCTAAGCACTTAGATGCTTTTCTCCTTGACTCATTTGTAGGATTGTCAGAGGGCAAATAACTGAACCTCAGTCATTGTCATGTCTTGTAAGGACAGTGTCCTGCAGATAGCCTAAAAAATATTAAGTGCTCAGTACCAGCTTATTTATTCACTCATACAAGTTTTTAAACAGGAGTGATTTTCAACCAGAGTTGGTGTTGCCCCCAAGGAAATATTTGGCAATGTCTGGTGATAGGTTTAGTTACCACAGTGTGGGGTAGTGGGATGGGGTAGAACTGCTGTTGACATCTAGTGAGCAGAGGCCAGGAATGCTGCTAAGCATCCCATACTGTCTGGGACAGCTGGCCTTCTCCAATTCCCAACAGGGAATGTTTGGCCCAGTAGTGTAGAGGCTGAAAAACTCTAATTCATACCCTCATTTTGTTCTTAAGTTTTGAGCAGTTTATAGTCTAATGTATATAATAAAATACAAAATAAAAAATGAAGAAACCAGGCACAGGGAAAATAAAGCCTGGAGCAAGTTTAATGAATTGCTTTAAGGTTCCAAAGCAGGTTGCAAATTAGACTCTCAGCTTCCTATCAGGCAAAGCAAAGAGGGAACACAAAGGTTTAGAAGATTGGCCATATCTATAAAATAGGAAAAAAACTGAAACCTTTGGAAATAGCTCATCAAAAAGGAGACAATTTATGACATAGAGTGGTCAAAGTACTTAACAGTATCTCTGCAATAAGTAAAACAGACATTTCCTAATAAAGCCTTGAAGACCAAGCAGTGATTTTACAGTCACTAAAGCAGGCACTGTGGCACACTCCTATAGTCCCAGCAACTTGGGAGGCTGAGGCAGAGGGTCACTTGACTCCATGAGTTCAGGGCCAGGCCAGGCAACACAGTGAGACCTTGTCTCTTAAAAAAGAAAGAAAGAAAAAATAAATTTTAAATACTTATCAGATCATAAATGATCTATGAAAAGCCAAAATGATCCCATGCAAGTATTTAACTCTGATGATATGGGATGCTTCAAAACTATAAGTAAAAACAAAAATTAGCTTGATTAGAGGATGCATATTCTTTGACATTCCTGCTGGAATAGAATTTTCACCAGTTTAGATTTCTTTTTCTTTCTTTCTGTCTTTTTTTTTTTTTTAAACCAGAGATTGAACCCAGGGTGGGGAGGGGTTAACCACTTCTCTTTTGGTATCTAGAGCTCAGAATCATTATTGAATTAGTTGACATGTCTCTACTATGACTCTTGTGGAGGTGTGAAAAGGCAGCATTTGGGGCTGGGGATGTGGCTCAAGCGGTAGCGCGCTCGCCTGGCATGCGTGCGGCCCGGGTTCGATCCTCAGCACTACATACAAACAAAGATGTTATGTCCGCCAATAACTAAAAAATAAATATTAAAAAAAAGAAAAGGCAGCATCTAAGAACATCAAGAGTCTGATCTGAGTTCATATAGATCACTCTGCTGTATAGCAGTCAGCCAGGTGGGTGGGGAAGGAAATGAAGGGGGAGGACATCAGACATGTATCAAAGAGAGTCCAAGGTCACAGGACAGGGAACCAGCGGGAATCTTATCAAAACAGAGGAACATCTGGAACTGAGAACTAGTATGCCAAAATTCCCCCAGCTGTATGTAGTTAATTATAAACTCTAAAAGAAAGAAATGATTGTTTCAAGATCATGTCACACCCACCTCTTGTGACCAGGTCATCATAACCCTCCCCTGGTATCTAGGTCATCAGGACCCTCACAAAGGAAATCTGCTGAGGGCTATATGAAAGATAATAAACCTCTTAATGGGGGATATGTGAAACTAAGGCAAGAACAAAGGAACCCCAAACCCTTAGAAACCCCAGACTCTAAGAGCCAAGCCTTTCTCTCCTGAGGCAGTCTATGGGGTGCCTTATTGAACCTTACCCTAATTTCTCAATTTTCTCATAAACCCCAACTATATTCTGTATGACTCACTTGAAAGTCTTCCTGCAGGATCATGGAACCCCTGTGGCTGCTTGGGTTCTGCAACAATCCCACAACTTAATCCTTTCTGCAGAATCAAGGGCTGAAATACTGGTAGTTGAGTGAATGAATTTTTGGTATATCTTAAAAGTTTCAACTTCTACAACTTCCATGCAGATATCCCGAAAGCTCTCAACTAAAATCAAATTCCTTGCTTAAGCAACTCTTTATTTCCATCAGACTCCTGTCTTGCCTTTTTAGATTCTATTTCTCTCTTCACTTATTTCAATTATTTGCGGAGATCAGCAGGGAGAAATCCCAAAAGGCAAAGAGGGAATGCCCAGCTTCTGCATTTGCAGAGAACTCAGCTTCAGCCATGCTTAATGTATCTGCTAGCGGGTCATGTTCACAGAAGATCAGTAGTTTAACTGTCTCAGATCTAACATCTTGGCTAAAAGAATCAGAAGAACCATGAAATGTAGCACTGTGCCTTAAACCTTGCTATGACTTCAAATTTGAATTGACATTGTCTGACCCAGGTGGGCTGAAGTTTACTTGGTCAGTCCATTTAACTAATAATAGCTACTTTAGTACAAAATATCTCAACGAGATTTGGGCCATGTGTTTTTGTTTTTAACTTTTTTAGTGAGCAGCCAACTTTGGTAAATGACTTAAAATTTAGTTTGGTAATGGGAAAGTGAAAGGTTTCTGTCAAAATGTCATAATTTATAAGGGGGTCCATGAAAGAGGTCTAAGATAATGCTGGTCCTTAGACATAAAACTAGTGGTTAAAAACTTACAGAATGTTGAATTTGAGGAGTGCCTGTAATGAGAAACTTGAACAAGTCACATTCAATATTTTATAAGAAGACAACAAAACCATTTCATTGACTCCTCTAGTCAATATAAATGGGTCTCAAAACTTAAATAAAAATGTGATTTCCTTGTGGTTATGAAATTCTTAAATGTGGATAAATTGAATTCAGGAAGAAGGCATCAGCTTATGAATACTTGATTATGAAATAGTTCTTTTTTCTAAAAGCCTCCAGGTGTGTCCTTCCAAAACAAGGCCCATGGGCTAAACGGGACAACTATTAAGTGCACGTACACTTGTCTCTGTCTTCACTTCTGGAAGGAAAACCCAGGTGAGTTTCCATGCAGCATTAAGGACTAGTTTAATAGGATGATGGCTACGCCCTCAGGCCTGCCTTGTCCTCTGGCCTCCTCTGAACTTTGCCACTGCAGTCACCAGCTCTCAGGGGTGTCCTTAGGATTGGATTTCCCAGGAAGCAAATTAAGCTCATCCTTAGAGTGCCAATAAAGCTGGGGCAAAGTCAAATAGAATATAGGGAAACAGTTTAGTTTATTTGTTCTCAAATATCATCCTTAGGAGAAAGAATTGCATTTTACTGGACTTCTTTAAAATTATTTACACAAGGAGGGGCATGAGTGGGTAGCTGGCCATACAGTTTTCAACACGTTCCAGGGCTCTAAAGATGTCTGTCTGGTACTGGTCATCTTTTAAGGTCAGCTAGTTTCAGGTCTCTAGTTTTTACTGAGCGTGAGGCCATTCAACTTTTTCTCCTACCATAATGTCGTAGTGCTCGAAGCAGAGTAGATACTCAATCTGTGTTTTTAACAATCAGGGGAATATACAAATGTATGAAAACAGAACTGTAAGTCTCACATCCACAATTTTGGTATATAAAGACTGAACACCCGGACATTAGAAATACCACCCCACCCTTTCTCCATCCTGCCCCCAAGCCTTTAACCAACCATCTGAAGAGTTGTCATTTGCCCAAATGGCCTAGAAGAGGGAGAAAACACAGCTTCTCTTTTGTCCTTTCTTTAAATCATCCAAGAGAGAAGGAACAATCATTCCCTCTGCTGTAAAAACACGGAGAGCCACTTCAGTTATATTGCCACAAAAAGAAAGCAACAACTCAGGAAAATAACAATTTCAAAAATTGTTTTTGACATTTAGAGTTACCTTCTGACAATCAAATAATGATGAACCTCAACATGACTGCAATAGACATTGTGTCTCCACCCTAAGCAAAACCAGCAAATCTTGAACCCAATTACAAAAGAAGAAATAAAACTTTTAGAAGAAATTTGGAACATTCTGTTTAGACCCATCAGTTTTACTGGTGATACAATGATCTCTTCTTTACTGATTAAGAAAAAAATTATGAATCATAGGAAAAAAATAAATGATCTTCTAGTAGTATTGTTCTTTCTTTCTTTCTTTCTTTTTTTGTCATGCTGAGGATGGAATCTAGGGCTTCACTCATGCTAGGCAAATGCTCTGACACTTGGTTACACTCTCAGCTCTTAGTAGCAAAAGAAAAAAGTATGATACTACAAGCTCTTAGGAATCACTACCACCAAATTTAATTTAAAAGACAATTTCATATTGCAGATGTAGGTTTTTAAGAGTAACCTATGCAAATAGTTAACATTTACCACTCATTTCCTCCTGGCTTGTCTCAGTTGTATAGTAAGATTTTACAGACTTTACATTTTTTGTTTTGGTTTAGATTTTGATTTGGGTTTGGTGCTACAGATTGAATCCAGGGCCTCAAGTATGCTAAGTACATACTCTACCACTGAGCTACACCTCCAGCAAGAATTCTTTTTTCCTTTCTGTTGAAAGAAGATAGAAGAGAAAGACAACAGGGTTGCAACACTGAAAGATATTCTGTGTTGCAAAAATACCTACCACCGCTGGGCTAACTACAGTGGACCACAGCCTATGACAATCAGAAGCTTAGCAGAACACAGAACACTGTTCTTGCAAGGAGATTGCGGGTGGAGGAATGAGGAAGAGTGGAGAAAAAACATCTTGCCGTTCTTCACTAACTTGGGGGAGGGGTGCCAATGTTTTTATATTTAAGAAAGTAGACTCAGCATTCAATCTCATTGCATTTATTTTTTTGTGACATTTTCCAGATAACATTCTTCACTAGGACAGATTGGAAAACTCACATTGGATGAAGGTCCAAGGCTTGTTTATTTTTTTCAGATTCTTAAAATTTCATTACCTCCTAATAAAGTACTCTAATGGTAGACTGCTTTCCTAGCATATGCTGGGCCTTGGGTTTGATTTCCAGCACTGCAAAACATAAAATTAAAAAGCAGCATATGATTTCCATGTGGGCTAGTGAGGCCTAAACTAGCCAAGCTTGAGGTTCATTAAAAATAATAACAATTTTTAAAAAGCTTCTGGAAACTTGTTTAGAAATAAGAATTGGGCAGCCAGCCTTAAATCTCAAAAAATTTTGAGACATTCAATATTCCTTCTTGCCACTGCAGGGTAGAAATGTGTGATGCATTTCCTTACTCATCCTAAGGGTCACAGCTGACACTCAGCTCTAACAAAAGACAGGCCACACAAGAAAAGCATAATGAATTTGTTTAATAAAGCCTTATGCAGGATGGGGGCTTCAGAAATGAAGACCTAAAGATCCTGGGAACACTGTTTTTATGCTTAGGGTTGAGGAAGAATGAGGGCTCTGTGGAAATGTGATGGGACAAAGGATATGACCGAATGGAAATGGACAGAGGGGGAAATGAGGCAAGGCTCATCTGTCCAGATTCTTCCTGGGCTCTGTGCAGCATTCCTTCCTGCTGGGTATATAGGACAGGACAGGACCCCTCTGGAATGAGTCTTTAGGAGAGAAGGCAGAAGGGAGAGAGTGACTTTCCTAGGTTTTATGGCTTGCTCTGGAGCAGAGAGGTTTAGTTTTAATGACTTGCCATGGGAAAGAGAAATTCTGGTTTCTATCAATTGCTTCAGGGAAGAAGGAGGGCAAGAGATACGAAGGCAAGACAAAGTCAGAGAGACCTTGCTCCTGAGGCTTTCCAGATTCTTTCAGTTCAGAGTACTTGGGATGTTTTAGGATTTCATGTCCTGAACCCTAATGCCTGGTTATTTGGCTATTCCAAGCTAAAGAGCTGGAAGGCTAGACAAGGGGAGATGCTCAAGGATTGGGGGCAAAGCAGGCACATGGTCATGGCATTTTGGAACCATTGGTCTGGGGTCAGTGCAGAGCCTGCATTCTAGAAGGTAAAACTGACATCATGGAGGCCTGAAGGAACAATTTCATAGCAAGTGAAGGTTGCAGAGGGCCTGAGGCCAGATAGAAGGCAGGGGGATGGAATAACAGAAAATCTCAGTAGGTAAAATTGGAAGTTCTAAGGAATCAGGTGGAGGGGTGAGATGGGAAATGAATCACATTATGAATCATTAGGTAGGCACACACACACATTATACTGTATTTAAATACCTTGATTATACTGTATTTAAATAACTTGATTGTTTCCAGCACTGCTGACTAAAAATCTATTAGTTTAGCAGAGGTTAAAATGTCCTTCATTCCTATAGGTGTGAGTCTTAGGAGTTGTATTTCCTTTCATGATGCCTGAATATAAAAATTGAATGACTCACTTGACGAAAACCCTGCTTTATGTTCTTCCTGGCCAGAAGTGTGCTGAGAGGCTTGTTCCTGGACTTGGCAGATGAAGTGGGAAGGGATATCCTGGTGCTGACTTATTCAGAGAGGCATTTGAGCCATCTATTACCATTCACACGTATCATTGGATAGAAAAGTCAGTATCAGCATAATAAATGCTATGTGTAGGCTAGTGTGTAAATAATAATCACTCCATATCTAGGTCACTAAATCAAAAAGATATGAGGCCCCATTTCTGTCCTGGAAGAGCTCACGACCTTGGAGGCAAGACAAACCACCAAGCCTGGATCTTATGAAGCAAGAGGTCTTCACATTCTAGGCCACTTCCTGTGTGGATCTTTGATAGTTCTTTTAATAAATAACTTTGATTATTGAGTACCCAGTATGTGCTGTGCACAAATAAGTTCATTTTGATGAATGTATTTATATATAGCTTTACCAATTGACATAGAAAAAATCAGTGTTTATTATTATTATTATGATAAAGATCAAGAAATTGAGCCCAGAGAAATTAAGTAACTTACCTGTGATATTGTGAAACACGTATTTAGTATTTACCCTATTTGCTGGTATCCTGAAGTCCTCAGAATCTCCAGAATGATAAGTATGTTTTTGTGTGAACTAATAAGATGACTGGTGGCCAACAGCCTCTAGGTAGCTTCAGGATAGGATCTGGTCACAAGATAGACCAAGGCATGATCAGCAAGTTGGAATCTTTTAGTTCTCCCCACCCAGCCCAATTTCTAGGAAGGGGAGAGAGTCTGAAGGTTGAATTGATCACCAAACATCAATAATTTAGCCAATTATGCCTATCTAATGAAGCTTGTATATATATATATATATAAAAGGACTGGATCCAGACAGCTTTCAGATAGCTGAATGTCTGAACAGTGGTGTGCCCCAGGGAAAGCACAAAGCTCCATACTCCTGCCCACATACCCCTGCCCACATACCTTGCCCTATGCATCTCTTTATTATTCCTCATTGTCCTTTGGAATACCCTTTATAATAGGCTAATAAACATGAGTGTTTTCTTGAGTGCTATGAATCTTCCTAGGAAATGAATCAAACTCAAGGGGGGGTCCAAGGGAGTCCCAAGTGATAGCTGATGAGTCAACAGCACAAGCCATGCCTGCACCTACAACTGGCCTCTGAAATGGAGAGAGAGCCTTGGGACCAAGCCCTCAACCTGTGGGATCCAATGCTACTGTTATGTAGACAGTATCAGAACTGGACTGGTTAAGGGGACATGCAGCTGGTATCTGCTGCAGAATCTGGTGCCAGGATTGATTGACTGCCTGATATATGGAGAAAAAGCCCCATACAACTGGTGCTTAAGTGTTGTGATGACTTGTGTATTGAGTGGCCAGTGCCCAGCGGCCCTAAGTGGGTAATTTAGGAAGGGGGAAATTTGAGCCAGGCCTACCTGACATAAAAGCCCATTCTTTTACCCTATTCTCAAATACAAAATGGTGGTCACAGCTTCAACCTCATGGGTCTGCCCTGAGGACAGAGTGAGCACCAGGACAGAGAGCCTGGAAACAAAGAAGCGATGTGCTAGTCATGTTTTCTTCCTCTGCTGTCACCCCTCAGGCCCCCCTCAGAATATGCGTCTGATTTTAGGTTTTCCAGAGTGTCTTGGGCATCCCTCTTCTCCACAGTAGTATATCTCACCTGCCTGCCTCCCCAGCGAGGCAAGGTAAAGACATGAAATTTTGCCATTATGGAGTTCAGATAACTCTAGTGTAGGGGCCCAGACAAAGGCATGAGAAGGATTCAGGATCCCATGGGATGGCATTAAAGTACCTTTGGAGTTGTGGTCTAAGCCATCCACACAAGAGGAAAATAATGCAGTAATCATTTAGGGAACAACTGAATTCTATCAAAAAAGAGGTTCTAGGTTTGGGGATTTATCCATTTTATCATTTACCTCATCTAGCTGCATTAAAGGGATCCATCAGGTCATCTGTAATTAGAATAAAATCAACCCGAAGACTTCATGTTCTAGTCGCTGATTATTTTGTTCATTCATTTACCAGATAAACATTGGGCAGGTGCTGCACATCAGGCCTGTGTGAGGCAGGAGGGATTCAATGGTAACAAGCATGTTTCCTGCTCTGAAGACACCCATCCTATTCATTCTGATAAAGGAGAAAGACAAAAGAAAACCCATCTGGACATAAAACCCAACTAAACATACAAGTGGGTAAATGGCTGCATGTTGTTCTAAAGGCTTCAAAGGAAGCCATCAAGGGTTGACATTTGAACTCTACCTTCAGGTGGGCAGGAAAGACCCCCCATGAAGGAGAGACCCAAAGGACAGACCCAAAGGACAGACCCAAAGGAGACTCAAAGGAGAGACTCAAAGGAAGAACAAGTGCTGACTGCAGGTGTGTGGGGGAGAGCACTGGATAGAGGGCAAAACCCAGCATGAGCTCAGCAGATTAAAGGAACTGAGAGGGGACTCCCCTGCCTTGCCTGATGAGCAATAAGCATTTTCTTTTTCTTTCTTTCTTTTTAAAATTTTTGGTTCTTTTCAGTTATCCATGACAGTAGAATCCATTTTGACATAATTATACAAGCATGGCGTATATATTGTTCTAATTCAGTCCCCAGTACCTTGCCTTCCCTTTCCCTCCCCCCACCCTCAGCTTCCTTCCCTCTACTGACCTTTCTGCCATTTACCCATAATTAGTTTTTTTTAATTAATTTTTTGTGGATGTGCGTGATGGTGAGGTTCACTGTGGTGTATTTATGTACATAGGAAAGTTATGTCAGATTCATTCTGCTGTCTTTTCTTTTCCTAGTCCCACTCCCTTCCCTTTGTCTACTTTACTGAACTTCTATTCTTTTTTTTTTTTTTTTTGTCCCCCACCCCGGGGTTAGCATTCCATGTCAGAGAAAACATTTGACCTTTGGGTTTGGGGAATTGGCTAATTTCACTTAGCAATAAGCATTTTCTTTCTTTTTTAAGAATATTGTTTTAGTTGTAGATAGAAACAATATCTTTATTTTTATTGGTTTTTATGTGGTGCTGAGGATCAAACCCAGAATCTCACACGTGTGAGGCAAACGCTCTACCACTGAGCCACAACTCCAGCCAAGGAATAAGCATTTTCTAATGGACAATGTAAAGAGCCCAGGAAAGGAGGAAGTCAAGTATCTTTACAGGCCTGTTCTGGAAAGAGTTTTATTTTTAAGGAGACAGACTGGCAGTGCTTGTGTGTGCGTACATGCATGTGTGAATTTATGCCAAGATAATCGCTAGGCATTTGTTTCTTTCTATAATTAAAGAACGTGACACGATCACAACTTAGCTGGAGTTACTCCTTTCTTTGAAAATAGACTCAGCAAGCTTTAGGATTGAGAATAGGTAGACTTTGTGGCTGATGACTGAAGCCCTGAGAAAAACAAGGGAACAGTTATGTGTGACCCTGACATTGGGTATGTAGTGGCACCCCCTCCTCCACAGAAAATCTGAATTAAGCTTCTCCAGAGACCCTCATCATAACTGTTCTTAGACAGCAAGAATTTCTGAAAAAGTTTCCAGGCGGGAGGTGTGTTGCAGAAGCAGGATGTGATAAGAAAGGCTAACCTGAGGCCTCCACAGAGGCTTGAATTCTAGGCCTGGGCTCAAAGCCCAGAACAGTGAAAAAAGCTGCTTTTGTGTAGACTTCTGTAGATGGTGAGCCTCCGAGCCCCTCCTCCTACACACTGGGTAAAAAGTTCTGAAACTTTCTAAAGTCGGGGTTCAGAGGGTTGATCCACTGTGGTGAAAGCCTTTTCCCTCTCTGGACCTGGCTGCAGCCAATAAACCTGCTTCCTCTATTTCCTCAGTGTCCTGCCTCATCTGTTCCACAACAAGTAGATTGATCGAGGTTCATTGCCATTTTCAAAAAAGACTGAGTAGACATGCAAGTCAATGCCGTGTGGGGTACTGACAGGAGTGAGTTCTGTAGATGTTGTTCTTGGGGTTAGACATTCAGCAAGCATTTATCTAGATGATATCCACAGTGGTGCCCAGTGTGGCCTCACCAGTGGCTCACTGTGGGACCTTAAACTAGTTATTCATAGTCTCTGTACTTCAGGGTCCTCAAGGGATTGTTGATAGGATTAAAAAATCCAAAGGTCCTAGCTCAGCTGTTAGTATTGAACAAGTATTCAGAAACATTCATTTTCCTTCTCCCCATCCCCCTTTGTTGTAAGAGTGGAAACAAAAAAATCAAAGTGAAAGTAAATTGGGGAAGTATAATGTGTGGATGTGTCATGTTGGATGTGGACAGTGAGGGACAGGGTGCAAGTTTCTAACCTGGGTCACTAGGTTATCAGTTGTGTAAGTCAGGACTTTTTTTTTTTTGGACACAAGTCACAGAATATTGAGCAAATAGGGAATTTTGGGGGCTCACACAGTTGAAGAATTGCAGGCATAACCAGTTTTGGAACTCCTTGTTCCCTCAAACGAGGTTTCTACTCTTGGCTCTACTGTCCTTCATGCTGACTTCATTCCTCCTCAACTCCATGTGCACCTTAATGCCAACGGCTCCCATATCCTGGTGTAAGAAAATATGCAATGACAAGAGTTATCACAACTATTGCTTATTACTCCATAGGCATTGTTCTGTATTTTACACATATTGACACAGAATTTTTACAACAATGCTATGAGATACATACTATTTTACAGGCAGGAAAACTGAGAAAAAGTAAGCAACTAGGGCCAAAGTTTCAAATAAAAGACAGAACCAGGATTTGAGCCCAAGGGGTCTGGTTTCTACAGGACTGTGCTCTGTAGTACCTCTGAAGTGGCCATCTTGTTTGGGTCCAATTGCACTGTTGTCCTTTCATTTGGGTCCCTGAGGCTAGAGGAAGGTGCTGCTCCATTGGCCAGGTTGCAGTCACAAGCCCTCTCCTGAAGTGGGCATGAGGATATGCTCTGAATGGTATATCCTCATATCCTGGGCTGAGAGTAGGGAAGGGAACACCCAACAGAAGATCTGGTCCCTTGACAGAGCAAGGGGGATTGGAAGCTCCACAGCAAAACAAGAGCTTTCCAACACAATTAAGATAGACAGCCATAATAGAAAACACAATTTTCTATTCTATTCTATTTTCTAGAAAATAAAAGGGATTTAGGGAGGAAATGATGAACTCTATTAAAAAGCTGAAGTTTGAAGGGCTAGAAAAATATTAAGGCAAAGATATGATTCATATTTGATATCAAGATATTGATTCATATTTGATATCAAGATATTGATTCATATTTGAAACAAAGTGATAATAAAAGGCTAAAAATAAAATAATAGGCAAATGAAGGTTAGGCAAATGAGAAATGAAAGCAGAAATGGCAACATTTGCATCAATGGAGTGGAATTCAGGATGAAAGCATTTATAATATAAGGAGCACCTGTAATGCTGTGATAAAGGACACAGATGACAAAGGTGACACAGTGCTACAGAAATCAAAAAACTTAGCAGCTAAAAATGTAAAAATAAGGAGAATATTATAAATACAGAATTATAATGGGAGATTTCAAAATGTATTTCTTGTTATTAGCCAGAATTAATAATCAAAAAAGCATTCAGACCAACAAAATAATAGAACTGCTAGTCCAAAAATTACTCAGATGAGCTTAATAATAGAAGCAGATAATTTTTTTTTTTTTGGTACTTAGCATTGAACCGAGGGATGCTTAACCACTGAGCCATATCCCCAGCCCTTTTATTTATTTTTATTTTGAGACAGGGTCTTTCTAAGTTGCTTAGTGCCTGTCTTAAGTTGCTGAGGCTGGATTTGAACTTGTGACCCTCCTGCCCAAGCCTCCTGAATCTCTAGGATTACAGGTGTGTACCACCAAGCCCAGCTAGAAGCACATGATTTTATATAGTACATATAAGCACTTCTTACATCCCACTGGAAGAGAAATATTTTTTCATTAAAAATATTTATATAAATGTTGTATAAAATTTTTCCATATGCATGCAAAGATAGCTTTGACAACAGACTGTATAGGTCACATTCTTTGATCAAAAGCTGAAAAATCATTGATTCATGATAAATAATGACATAAAAACTTAAATAGTTAAAAATTAAGGAACAAACTAAACTTTTAGATGAGTTGTGAATCAAAAAGGACATAAAAGGGAACTTACTATCTAGAAACCAATAAAGAGAAAACCACTTCTTATTAAGACTGACAGAATCCTGGAAGTTGAGGCTGGGGATGTGGCTCAAGTGGTAGCGCGCTCGCCTGGCATGCGTGCGGCCCAGGTTCGATCCTCAGCATCACATACAAAAAAAGATGTTGTGTCTGCCGAAAACTAAAAAAAAAAATAAATATTAAATTCTCTCTCTCTCTTAAAAAAAAAAAAAGAATGAGAAAAGAGTCATACTCACAGGGACCTGAGAAATTAAGAGACTCACTGTGGGCAATCTTGTGGCCATATATGTGAAAAGCTGTAGGAAACATACAATTTTATGTCAGAATATAAACTAGTAAAATGGATCCAAGAAAAGAATGAAAACAGGAATGAACCAATTATACAGAAGAATGGTAAGATGATTGGAGTTTACTTCTGGAAAGATCTGAGAGCCAGATGACTTCACAGCTGAGTGTTAATTTGCTTCTAAAGTTCTGATGATTCTAATGTGTCATTACTGAAATGTGTGCTGCTCAAATTGTGTCCAGGGGCTGTTACAGCAGCATTACCTGGGATCTAGTTAGAACATGCATATTTATCTACTTCGAGCCATAGAAAAACCCTTTAGATTCATGTTTAAAAGCCAATATAATTTTAATATGAAACCCAAGAAGCAAAAAGCACAGATTGATAATTACTAATTAATACTATATAGAAGAATCTCACAATTTAGTGGTCAAAATGAAAAATACAATATTAATTTATAAAAATCTTTATTATATCAAAAGGACAAAAGACAAAGAACAAGCAAGAATGGTTCAGTATCTAAATTCCACTAAGGTGATCACAATCCATTACATCACCAATCTAAGCAAGAGGAAAGTCTCATTAGGTATTCAAATGATAACTGCTAACATTCAGGAGCCATTTTAAATAAAATCTCCAAGTATAGAAGGAAATATTTAGACAGACAAAAGGCTACATACCAGAACTGATCGAGGCAAGTGAAATCTTTGTACATATTTAATTACTGCTGTGATGTATTTTTTTAATTTAATAAAATGAGGGACAGAAGAAGAAAAGACTATTTACCAAAACCAATACAAGTATTATCTTTTTTTAAAATTGTTTTAGTTGTAGATTTTTAGACCCAATATTTTTATTTATTTATTTTTAATGTGGTGCTGAGGATCAAACACAGTGCCTCACCCATGGGAGGCAAGTGCTCTACCACTGAGCTACAACCCCAGCCCACAAGTATTATCTTTAGTAGGGAAACAGTAAAAGCCTTTCATTTTTAGTCAAAAATCAGACTGATTCCTGTACTACTATTAGAATTTAACATTATTTTAGCAAATGAAACAAGACAAAGGGCTGGGGATGTGGCTCAAGTGGTAGCGCGCTCGCCTGGCATGCGTGCGGCCTGGGTTCGATCCTCAGCACCACATACAAACAAAGATGTTGTGTCCGCCCAGAACTAAAAAATAAATATTAAAAATTCTCTCTCTCTCTCTCTCTCTTTCTCTCTCTCTCTCTCTCTTTCTCTCTCTTTCCTCTCTCACTCTCTCTTTAAAAAAAAAGAAACAAGACAAAAAGATGAAATAATGAGCATAAACATTAGAAAATAAACAAAAACATGTATTTTGATAGGGATATATATTTAAGAAAACCCAAGATAATTCAGAAGGAAAAGCAATAAGACATATTAAAAGAATGAGAAAAGCCAGTACAATTTAATCCCCAGGACACGGGAGGGTGAGGGAGGAGGATCATAAACTTGAGGCCAACCTGGTCAATTTAGAAGAGATCTTGTCTCAAAATAAAAAGGAAAAATGGCTGGGGATGTAGCTCAATGATAGAGTGCTGCTGAGTTTAATCCCTAGTACCGTGTGTGTTGTGTGTATGTGTGTGTGTGTGTGTGTGTGTGAGAGAGAGAGAGAGAGAGAGAGAGAGAGAGAGAGAGAGAGAGAATATAAATGGAAGCTAGATAACCATGCAGAAAACAACAGCTTTTCTACTTTAATAAGAATCAAGTAAAAATAAAAATGGGACTATAGTGTTCCATGTGTAATATTCATAAAAACTGTAAATTGCTGAGGTAGAGGTCTAACAAGAAACAACAAAATATAGGGAACTGATTCTACCTTGTTAGGTGATAGAAGGAAGATCTGAATAGCCAAGAGGCCCCCATGTTTTGAGATATTATATAATAAAATAACAACAATAATAATTCTCCTAAGATCAAGATCAAGCAGTTTTCATTACAATGAAAATAAGTGTTGTTTTTTTCTTGGAACTGGACAGAATGATTAAACATTATTAGGAAAGCTAAATGCTCAACATTAGTTAATAAAAATATGAAAAAGAAAAAGGGAAGGTTTCTCCTACCAGATAGTCAGAAACTAAAGCTGCAGTAAACAAATCAATGTGGTATAGACACAGAGTTAGGTTCCAAAGGGACAGTTATATAGTACAAATGCAGTAGCTTATTTCAGGGCGAAAGAGATGGGTCATTTAATAAAGAGTTGACTTCTTTCTGGAAAAAAATTAAAATGACACTATCATATACCATATATGAAAACAAACTACAGATGAATTAAAGACTTAGATTTTAAAATCTAGGCAAGTAGATTGACAATGGAAACTTAAATGCTGTAAAAGTAACGATTGACAAATTTGTATACAAAATCTTAAAATATAAGATAAAGCCTATCATAAACAAAGTCAAGAATAGATTGAAGATATTAATAAAGTATATGATAGGAAAATGTTAATTTTTAATATACAAGAAACTCTTAAAAATTGATTAAAAAAATGACCAAATCCTGTAGAAAATGTGCAATGGACATGAATTGACACTAAAGAGAAGAACAAATCCTAAGAGCCACAAGCATGTAAAAAGACACTGAAATTCACTTAGAGTCAAGGAGATGTAAGCTAAAATAACAATAAGTAAAAATTTAAGTCATGTAGTCACTTGCTAGTGGGTGGGATATAAGAAAAGTGTTGTCATGCCTATTGGTGAAAACATGATGTGTCAGAGTCTTTGGAAAAGGCAACGAGGCACTAATAAATAAGTTAATATTCATGAAATACTTAAAGCAGTGTCTGTCACATAAGAAATGCTATGGACATTTTTGTTAATTTGTTTTTTTGCTGAGGATTGAATCCAGTAGCACTTTACCACTGAGCTACATCCCTAGACCTTTTTATTTTTTATTTTGTCTAGATTGCCCAGACTGGCTTCAAACTTGCAATCCTCCAGCCTAACCCTAACCCTAAATCACTGGAATTACAGGTGTGCACCACCAAGTTCATCTGTACATTTTTGTGTAATAAGTGAGATTTCTCTAAAAAATAAAATCATAGCTGTTGACTCAAAATTTCCATTCTCAGGAATCAGTACTATTCCAAAGACACAGCAGGGAACCAAACCAATATCCCTGCCTTCATGGAGCTAATACTGTGGTCCTCTGCCATCTTCTTTATGCACCAAAAGTGTGTCTTTTATTATTCCAATGCCTAGGTAAATACCTCACACACGTGACATATTTAATACAAATTTATGTAACAGCATAGTGCTTTCAGCTTTATATCCTAATCTGAAGATGTTTGTAGATATGTCTTATCTTCTTTTTTGGCTGCTAACTCCTTGAAGGTTAGATGGTATCTTAGGCATAGCAGTAGCAACAATTTGTTGTCTAAAGGTGTAATGAAACATGCAGAATGTTATGGTTTATAGTTTGGATCCGACTGTTTCCAAAGACTCCTATGTTGAAGATTTGGTCCCAAATGTAACGATGTCCAGGAGGAAGCCTTTTGGGAAGTGATTGGATCATGAGAACTGAATCTTATCAGTGGCTTAATCCATTTGATGAATTAATAATTCAAATGAACTGCTGGGAGGAGGTGGTAGGTGGGGCAAGGCGGGAGGAAGTATTCAGTGGAGGAATGCCCTTGGCCTCCCCCCATCCCCCACCCTGGCTGCCGAGAACTGAGCGGCTTTCCTCTGCCACATTATTTTGCCAGGATATTTGGCTTCATCCCAGGCCCAGAGCAATAGAACCAGATGACATGAACTGAAAACCTCCGAAACTGTGAGCAGAAAACTTAAGAGCAAATGGATTTTCGTAAAGACTAATAGTTTCAGATATTTTCTTCAGCTGCCAGTAGAAATATCTGGCAGCTAATATGAAATGCATGGCTGAAGAGAAGATGTTAAGTCCAGAGGGGTAGATCTGAGGGTTTTCTTTTGAGGTGAAAGTTGAAGTCATCACAGGGAGTGGACGAGTCACTAGTGGAAAGAGAATGATACTCCCAGGGTTTGGGGCTGGAAACGTAGGCCCATCCAGTGTCCTTCTTTACTGACCATGTATCTCTGGGTATACTACACAATGGGTCTGAACCTTGTGTCCTCAAATGTTCTGAAGGGCTAATAATGCCTGTCCTCCCCCACATGACATGATGCGTGTGTAGGTGGTTTGTAAATCCACAAACACTATGCAGAGTAAAGATCCCGGTGCTGAACTGGAGGTGCCTGAGGATTGAACATGGGGATCATGGCCTGGCCTCTTCACCACATCAAGGGATGCCTACTCATCCTTCAGATCTCACCCAGCAGCCTTCCCTGACCTCCCATGGACCCATGCCTCTTGGGTGTGCTGTCCCTGCAAGTTTCTACTTGCTACAGTGACGATTTGATCCACACTTGGTACGCTCTCCATGCCTGCGTGGTGCTCACTGAGTGAACCCAGAAGTGAGCACAGGCACAGCAAGGGCTGAGTTAGACTCCCAGGAAGGAAAACAAAACCACAGTGGGTGAGGAAGCCTTGGAACCCTTTTCAAAAAAGGTCAGCAATGTCAAATGCTTGGAGAAGTAGAGTGAATGAGAAATTTTGAAAGCACCCCAGATTAACTGCATCTAGAAGGTGGCTGCCTAAAACAATGGCTTAAATATCCACAAGTGGCAAAGCTGTTGAATGAAAATAGTCTCTGGGTTTCTACAGAAGATAAATATCTTGAAACCCATCCTATCTCTGTTGGGGTTGAACCCTGAGTCACCTTGCTCTGAGGAGAGTACAAAAGGATGCAAATCTAGCAGAGAAACCTGAATGGAGTCCTGGAGCCTCAGCTAAAGTTTATGACTGCTCTGCCTTTGTTTGAAGCCCAAGCGCTGCAATGAATCTCAGTTCAATTAGTTTGACCTGCCCCCAGAGAAAAAGTCAGATTTAATCGAGGCCTGTGTACTTTGTGCAAACATTTGGTAATGTTCATGCACTATTTTATAGTATAGGCATTCATTTTCTAAGCTCAGTTTTCAACTTTGCTATATGGAGTATTTGAAAGATATTTTGTTCCCATTTGATCCCACAGATCTGTGCTTACATTTCTAAGAATTCTGTATGTGATTTAAAAACAAAAACAAACAAACAAACAAAAAAACCCTCGAAACCTTCTATACAATCTGTTAAAAATAAAATGCAGGATTTTATTTATTGGTAGTACTGTTGTGTATTTTTTTTTTTTTTTTTTTTTTGGTGGTGGTACAGGGGTGCTCTACTACTAAGCTACTTCCCAGACCTTTTTCCCCTTTTTATTTTTATTTTGAGACAGAGTCTCATGAAGTTGTTCAGGCCAGCCTCAAATTTATGATCCTCCTGTCTTAGCCTCCCAAATTGCTGGGATTACAGGTGTGTGTCACCATTCCCGGATTAAAGTGCAGTATTTTTATCCCATGGTGTCTTCACTCTCTTTCTTCAGTGTATGGTAGAGACTTTCAAGATTATATTTTTTTAAATTGTGATCATAACATAAAATCTACTTCTTGAACATTTTAAGGTAGTTCAGTAGCGTTAAGTATTTTTAACATTTTATTATGTCACCGATCTCCAGACCTTTCCTATCTTACAAAACTGAAAGGCTATACCCATTAAGCAACAACTCCCATTTCTTCCTCCTTCTAACCTCCGTCGATAGTTCTGATGGTTGATGGTTACTTATTTTTCTCATGGTGGTAATGGAGATTGAACCGAGGTCTGTGTACATACTAGGTGAGCACTCTACCACTGAGCTACATCCCTAGCCATTTTCAGTTTGAGACAGGATCTTGCTAAGTTGCTGAGACTGGCCTTGAACTTGAGGTCCTTCTGTCTCAGCCTCCCTAGTCTCTATGATTACAGATGTGTGCCATGGTGCCAGACTTGGTTTCATATTTTTATTGGACTAGGTTCTAGAAACTCTACCTGGGTGGGTAACCTTAACACATTTCTGGGAAGTCTGAATCCATTGTCACTACATACCCCTACATACTCATAGAAATTGGGGTGGTCATTTGGCTAAGCCACAGAATCAGTGATATGATATAATCTTAATCAAAGAAGAAACAAAATTCAGGAGTGTATTCATAAATATCAAAAGACATAAAGCAATTGAATTCTCAGACATTAGTTACTTGCCTATGTATAGAAGTTCAGAAGTTAGAGGAAATATAAAGATGACTTATGTCAGGCAGTCATTTGTTCAGGAAATATGTATTAAATATGCCTGAGCCAACCCTGGCTCAGATTTGGCAATTGAGAAAAATAGACCAGAATTCCAGGCTTTAAGGCACTTTGTAGTCAAGGAGTCTAGCAAGATGAAGCTGATAATCAACACATGTTTATTCACTGAAACGTCCTTGATTTCCTGCATGCTTAGGGAGGTCCTTTTTCCTACTTGAGGATGTCCTCAGATATAATGACTTTGGAAGGCAAAGATGTGGTGACTGTATCTTCAATTGTTGAATGACTCATTTTCTACCATATGGTTCTTTCATATTATTAATTACAAAACATTTACCGTGTAAGGAATTTGGTTGATGAACACACTGTCTATTGAGCACTTATGAGTCCCTACTCTCATTTCCTCTGAGGAAAACTTTATCCTCTTCATTTTGTAGATGACAAAGTAGAAGCTCAGAAAGAGTGATCAACTTTTCCAAAGTCAGGAGGGGACTCAAATGTTCTGGGTAAATTCAGGAGTCCTTTTTACTTGGCTGTATGTTAATTGTGGGCTAAAAGGTTGTCAGTCACAAAGGCACACTTTCACTGAGCACTCAGTGTACAAGGCAATTGGGCCACCGGAATGTATTCCAAGAAAATCAGTCCCTTCCCGAACTGACACTATAGTAGGGAAGACAGATATCACAAACAACCACACAACTGCAAATGTGCTGTTTGGCAAAGGGGTGCTTTGGGAGATTAAGACCCAAGAATTCTTCACAGGCTGCGACTGGGGGTAGGGGTCAGGGGGTGTGACAGACAAGCATTTTCTTTCTGAAAAACAAAGCTTCAGGACCCTGACTTAATTGCTGTAGCCAGACACTGTTCAAGTTTGCTTTGTTCTGTGGGAGGGTTTGGTTACTTCACAGATGGGTTCAACTGAATTGTGGGTAGAAATTCTGATCCCCACCCAGACCAGCTAAAACCGGTTTTGATATTTGCACAACCTGTGAAATACACACTGCAGTTTCTATTTAAATATACTCTGTTTGGAGCAAAAATTAGAATTAACACCTGGGCAGAGAAGCAATACTTTCCCCCTAAATTGACACAATAATGAAAAAAAAATAACAAGAAAGTACTAAAAAAACACAATTGCAAAAATTAAAACCAACAGGGAAATAAACCCATCTCTCCATTAAAGCAAAATTAATTTAGTTTGTTTGTTTTGTTTTTTGGTACCAGGGATTGAACTCAGGGGCATTGAGCCATTAAGCCATATCCCCAGTCCTTTTTTATATTATATTTAGAGACAAGGTCTCACCCAGTTGCTTAGGGCCTTGCTAAGTTAGTAAGGCTGGATTTAAACTTGCAATCCTCCTGCCTCAGCCTCTCAAGCCACTGAAATTGCAGGCATGCACCACTGCACCTGGCTTCCATGTAGTTTTGATTTGCATTTCCCTGATTGCTAGGGATGTTGAACACTTTTCATATATTTGTTGGACATTTGTATTTCTTTGAGAAATGTTTGCTTAGTTCTTTTGCCCACTTACTGTTAGGTTACTATTATTTTGAGGAGTTAAGCTTTTTGAATTCTTTATATAGTTTGTATATTAATCCCCTGTCAGAGGATTGGCTGGTGAATATTTTCTCTCATTCTGTAGGCTCTCTTCATGTTCTTAATTGTTTCCTTTGCTACACAGAAACTTATTAATTCTTGGTTTTATTTCTTCAGCTTCAGGAATCTTGTTAAGGAAGTTGGTGACTGTACCAATATGCTGAAATTATAGCATCTGCATAATTGGATGTAAAGATAATCATGCTAAGTGAAATAAGTCAAACTCAGAAAATCAAGAGTCAAATGTTTTCTCTCATATGCAGGAGCTAGAGAAAAATAAGGGGAAAAGAAGAGGGGTTCAGATATCATAAGGATATAGGGAAGATGGGTAGAGAAAATCTTCACCAGGCTCTCTTCACACTCTTGTTTCCTTTGCTATACAGAAGAGGATCTTCACCAGAACCTGACCAAGCTGGCACCTGGATCACAGACTTCTAGTCTCCAGAACTGTGGCGAAATAAATTTGTGGCTTCAGCTTCCAAAGAAGAAGTGAAAATGGTGGAATTTATGTCATACATATTTTAACACACACGTGTGTGCACATGCATGGTCACACACAAAATTCCTGAACGCCACCCCTACGGATCTCAATTCTGTAAATCTGGGACCTGGGAATCTGCATTTTGTCATACAATTAAGGTGATTTTGAAAGGGATAAATGAGAAATTAGAGAAATAGGAAGATTAAACTGTTACCCATACTTTGGGAATGCTCCCGGGAAGTCAAATCACCTTGTGGAATCCTAGGTGACTGAGGGAAACTTCCTGGTGCCCTGCTAGGCTATTCATTGGCCACTTGGTTGATTTCTGCCATTGGGTCACTTGGGACAAAAGGTGCTGTGCTGGGCTCTGGGTGGGGATGCAAATGCTGGTTACAATCTCATAGGAGATGTCAAACAAAGAAGCATAGGGGCTCTTAGTAACTTCTAGTAGTTCAATTTTTCATTTCCTCCCCTGTGCAGAGGACCATGATGCCCAGCTCACAGAGCTGTTGTGGAGACAAAGTAAGATAAAAGAGGTGTTTTTAACTTTTTTAAATGAAAATGACTTTTACTCTTCAGCAGAAATCAGCTGATGTACTGATTTATTCCAGAGAGAAAACTACATCAGGCACAGCAGTTACACTGGAAGTCACTGCACTCTATAAAGTATCAGGGCAAAAGTTTACATCCCTGAAGACACATGAACATTATTACCTGGGAAGATTTTTTAAAATATACACACTGACCCTCTCCCTGAGGAGATTCTCAGTCAGATGGTCTGGGCAGACAAGCATTTTTAGAAAAGCTCTCAGGGTTTTCAACTGGTAGCCAAGGTTTCTAACTACCTGACGAATGTGAATTTTACCTGGTAGGATGGGAGAGGCTTCATCGAGAAGATCTTGTGTGAACTAGACCTTTGAAGGACTTGTAGGACTTGGAAAATAATATTTTTGAACTAGGTAATATGCATATACTATTTTTATTTTTTTAATATTTATTTTTTAGTTATAGGTGGACACAATCTTTTATTTTTGAGGTGCTGAGGATCGAACCCAGTGCCTCACGCATGCCAGGCAAATGCTCTACCTCTGAGCCACAACCCCAGCCCCTACACTATTTTTTAACTAGATAATATGTATAAAATTCAGAAGTCAAAAAGGATTTACCATGAAAAATATATCTTCCTCTTTTTCCTGGCTCCCTCCCTTGATCTCTCTGGAAGCAACATCTATTATCAGTTCTTGTTTATACCAGCAGACTCTTGCCAGTTCTTGTTTGTAGAACCTTCCAGGTGCTGCTGTAGTTTAAATATGTTTCCCAAATGTTCACATGTGGGAAGCTTAATCCACACATACCTACGTTAGTGATATTTGGAGGTGCCACTTTGGGGATGTGATTTGAATTAGATAGAGACATGAAGTGCATCCCTAGTGGTGACATTCATGACTTTATAAGAGGAGGAAAAGACCTGAGCCAATCTGCTTGTTGTTTCACCATATGATGCCCTCTGCCATGTTATGATGCAAGAAGGTCTTCACCAGATGCCTGTACCTTGATAATGACCTTGCCATCTCCAGTGCTACAGAGAAAACAAATCTCTATTCTTCCTAAGTCACCCTACTTGTGCTATTTAGTTATAGCAATAGAAAATGGACTAAGGCAATTACTATCAAGGATCTTCTCAGATTGGTCAGGGGACAAAACAAGAAAGGAGCAGGTATTATTTCTGTACCATGAGCTTCCACAAAGTACAGAATCTACACAGGTTTAGCATAGGAGATAAATTCTACCTAAGGAAAAAAAAAAAGCAAAAAGTAGACTTGAGGATAGGACTTCTCTCTCTCTCTCTCTCTCTCTCTCTCTCTCTCTCTCTTCTTATTATTAGTTCTTGTTACAGTAAATTCTGAGCATTTAAAAAAATTAAACCTTTTAATTTTGAGATCATCATAGAGTCACATGTAGTTCTAAGAAATAATAGCAGGAGGTCCCATGTGACTTTTGCCAGAGGAAATTCATTTAAATTTTAGTGCTAATATAGATACTTGAAATCAAATGCTTGGGTATCGGTTTGAAAAACTACTACTCTGAAATTGAGAGTGAAATGGCATGGGAGTGGGGCTGTGGAGGAAGAAATACTTTTAGTTTCCCTCATGGTTTCTGGGAAATCGAAACTTAAATCCTCCTGTGGCGGTGGCACAGTTCCAGCTGGGTCTTATTTCTCTGTGGCCTCCTCCCTGGATACTTCTCCCTCTCTGTGCTGGGGAGGACAAGCAAGGGAGACCATCTGGGGGAGGGACTTTCTCTAGTGGGTTGAACCTAAAGTTTCTACCTGTGTCTCCAGGTTGAAAAATGAGTGGCGGTCCTGCCCACTCCAAAGCCTGCCTTCCTGGCCTCCCCACTCATAGAACAAACAAACGGAGGCAGCAGGTTTCCAGCTGCCTCTGAATTGTTCCTGGATTCCTCAACAGCATGCGCCTCTGTAAAAGGGTTTCACAAACAGATCACTTGATAACGCTGTAACTGTAAACTTATTTCTTCCCTGCTTATTAATTGTGGTACTGTGTTGGCAGAAAGGAACACCTGGTCAGAAGCAGGTGGCTGGAAAGGGACTTTAATCTTTCTCCAATGCAATTCATCTCCCACTATTTACCTATGAACGACATAACAGGTGTCCTGCTGATTGAAAATGTAAACCACCAGGCTTGACGTTCTCTCTGAGAAGTTTTCTAGTTTTCTCCCTCCCTGTGGACAATTTTAGTCTAGCATCTGCTTCTAATGCTAATGTTATTTGTATCAATACATCTAGATACATTAATACACAGTATATTAAAACTTGGGGTTTTTGGTGGGGGTGTGGAGACAGACACACTGGGCTTCATCATGTATGTGATTTAAGGTATTTATGGCATTCACCAGGAAAGAAAGAATAAAACCCAACTATTGATAAAGATGATTCCAGAGCTCTATAATTACATGAAATAGAAAACTGCAATATGAGTGAGATTCAGGCACATTATTTTCTCTATTAATAATAATTACTTTTTATTAATATAATCTGGACAGAATGTTAATGCTGTGTATGTACAGTCACATCTGTGACACATGTATTATTGTCCCCACTTCATTGTTGGAATAACTGGTGTTTCTAAAGGTGAAGTTCTTGCATAAGGTCTATATGGCTGGTGGGTGAGACAAAGTTTGGATCCAGATCTGTATGGCACTGAGTGACTCTAGCTATCTGTGCTATGTATAACTGTGGAAACTTTGGACTCTTCAGAATAATATTTTTATTTTTGTGGTGCTAGGGATCCAACTCAGGGAATCATGCATGCGGGCGTGTGCTGCGCTACTGAGCTATATCCTCAGCCCCAGAATAATGTTTTTAAATTAATACAAAACAAAGGGAACTACCCTCCTCCAAAGCAATTCTACAGAAATCCATTTATCAATTGTGGCAGGTCATTTTGAAAGTGGGCCCCAATGGACTTTTCCCTGGGTACCTGTGTTCAAATTTTGAGTTTGTGCTGAACATGGTGACTCCTTTCTGAGGGACAGAATATAGCAGAAAAAATAGGATGTCACTTCTGAGATTAGGTTACAAAAACCCTGAATTCTTGAGTTCTTTCTCTTGCTGTCTTTTGGGTTGGTCACATTGGGCAAGACCAGCTGCCATGTCCCAAGGCAGGTCTATGGAGAGGTCCACGTGGTAAAAAACTGAGGCTGTTTACAACCACAAGAGTGAACTCAGAAGTAGATCCTCTCCCTGTGCAGATGACATCTCGATTACAGCTGCACAAGAGAACTTGATCCTGAACTACTTGGCTAAACTGCATCTGGATTCTTGACCTACACATAAAAATGTTGTTTTCAATCACCAGTTTTGGGTTATTTGTTATGCAGCAGTAAAAAAATTTAATACATAAATACTAAAACATATTAAAATAAAACAAGTTTGGGATATACACATGGTACTTAGTAGTGAGAAAGTATGTTTAAAATATAGGCAAATTAAAGTTTGAGTTTATATCTTTAAAAAAAAACACTTTTTAAAAAAAAAAAAACAGCAACAACAACAACAACAAAAACCCAACCACAACATCCACAAAAAAAAAAAAA